CCATGAATTCCTTATCATTTTGAGCTGTGCTTTCAACTTAGTGTCTGATCTGTTTCTAGCTTTGAACATGGGATTTCTGAATTTTCAGCTATTAGACATCCACCAGAGGCAGGTGGATATCTAATAGCTGAAAACAGAAAGGTTTATAAGGGCACTATTTTCATAGCAAAATGAGTCATGGCATGTGAGGGCGACGTGGGTACCTGTCTGAAACAAAGGTCATATCTTAGACATGTTAACAATTGAAAACCTGAATTCAAATACCACCCACTTAAAAAAAAAAAAAAGTCTTGCTCAGTGAGAGACCAATTGATTTCTATTTCTAAGACTCTGTGGAGTCCTGGTGTGTCACTGCCGGCTATTGTGCTGAACTGTTACATCTGTTTGAACCACAAGGTTGGCAATTCAAGCTCACCAGCTGCTCCTTGGAAACTCTATACAGGGTTGGTATGAGTCGGAGGCGACTTGATGGCACTTAACAACAACAAGGCGTAGTGGAGTCCTGGTGTGGCTCTACCGGCTAATGCACTGGACTGCAATGTTGGTATGAACCACAAGGTCGGCGGTTCAAATTCACCAGTTGCGCCTCAAACACCCTATACAGGGTCAATATGAGTTGGGATCTATTCACAGCACTTAACAACAAAAATTAGGCTATGGCTCTGTAGTAATAAGCACAGCACTGCAAACCACAAGGTCGGTGGTTTGATTCCACCAGTTGCTCCACAGGAGAAAGATGAGACTTTCTGCTCCCTTAAAGACTGGCCAAGTGGCAGCATCGATGGACTCAAGTGTGGCAACAATAGTGAGGGTGGCCCAGGATCGGGCACTGTTTCGTTCTTCTGTGCATAAGGTCACTATGAGTTGGTACCGACTCAATGGCACCTAACAACAACAAAGATTTATAGCCTAGGGAACCCTAAGAACCCACTTGATGACACTTAAAAACATACAAGGCACCAGTTTTCCCAATTAAACAACAAATGAAACATTTTATATAGAATAGATTACTATTTATATATATTCTTTTCCTGTTCCTCTTAAGCTGAGAGGATAATTTCAATTGTAGAATGTCAGAGTTAATTGTAGGTTTAAAAAAAAAACCGCAATCAGTTGCCTTTGGGTCCATTATCTTTGACCTTGTACTAAGTACTATGTCCTTTTCCAAGGACTGGTCCCTCCTTATAAAAGAAAAAGGAAAAACTATATATATGTATATATATAGAGAGAGAGAGAGTGAAAGATATGGACTCCTGGTGTGGTGCCGTGGGTTAGTGTGCTGGATTGCCAAGTCAGTTTGAAACGCAAGGTCGGTAGTTCAAGCTTACCAGCTGCTCCTCACACTACCTATACAGGGTCGATATGGGTCACACCCAACTCGACAGCATTTAACAACAACAACATATTGATAGATAGCATGAGAGTACGGTGGCTTCAAAGGATAATCATGACTGCTAACTGTCCATGGTTCAAGTCCGCCAGCCACTCTGTGTAAGAATGATTAGGTCTTCTGTACCTGCAAAGATTGAAAGTATCGGAACCCCTATATAGGGTTGCTATGAGTTGGAACCAACTCGAAGACATTAATAAAAACAGTATAGCATAGTTGCATTTACAAAAATGCCTGGGGAGGGGATGGAGATAGGAGAGAACAGCTAGCAAACAGACATAGAAGGTACCTATTATTTGAATAAAAATACTGTTGTTACCTATAAAAGCGTAATTTATTGGGAAGACACAGCCCTCATATATATAGATGGAAAAATTCCATAGACATGCGAGGGAGGTTGTACCTAGTACCCACAATAGGTGAGGTCTTCCTGGTGTGGCGCTGTGGATTAACGCGCCAGACTGCAAAGCCATGTGAACTGCAAGGTTGGTGGTTCAAGCTCACCAGTTGCTCCTCGGAAACCCTATACAGGGTCGCTATGGGTTGGAACTGACTCGAGGACACTTAACGACAACAAGGAGCTCTGACAGTGTAGTGGTTACATATCCGACCACGAACCTTAAGGTCAGGAGTTGGACCACGGGAGAAAGATGAGGCTTTCTGCTCCCGTAAAGATTTACAGCCTCGGAAACCCTGCACAGGGTCGTTATGAGTCGGAACCGACTCCAAGGCACACAACAACAACAACCTAGCTTAGATTTCACTGTAATCTGCAAGTCAAGAAGGGAAAGTAAACCCATTTTATTCACAGGTGTGCATTTTTTGTGCAATTATGTGTAGGTGGTTAAAAATGATGTTCCGTAGAACCCCATGTACAATCAAAATTGAAAGAAAATCAGTTGCTATTTTAACATGACAACAAGAAAATGCAAATTTAAAGAAGAACTTTTCATTAGCACACTTCCTTGGTGACTAGGTGTTAAAACATTTGAATGCAAACACCCCATAGTTTGGGGAGCTCCACCACATAAAAGGTGTGAGTTATAGCTGAATTTCCCTGCTGTTTTTACTTCTCAGTTTCTACCCCTTAGAAGTTCATAGAGATAAATCTGGAAATATTTGAAAAGTAACACATTTGGAAATCATTCCATGTCTTGACCATTTTATACACTTTTTCCAGGGTAAAGTACTTGGACTGCCCTTCATTACCACAAGCATTTATTTAATCACAAAATCTTTGTTTCTTGAGAAATATTTGCTGCTTTTATTTATTCCCCACCTGAAGTCACACTCCTTTATCACAGAACAATCATTTCCACAGCAACCAACTGTGATGTCATAACTGAGGGGAAGAAGACAGTTTAGAACCGAGAGAGAAAGCAACATAAGACTTAATCTTCAGGTTAAGGTTTCTGGGTTTTAAAACCATCTCTGCAGTAATCAAAATATTTTTGCAGAAAAACCCTAAGGCAGAGCTGCATTTCTTCAAGTCTTCGTTGTGACGTGAAAAAGCATTTTGCCAGAAGTTTAAGGGTTGCATGTTTTGGGTTGGGGAAAGAGTAGAGATTTTTTTAAATTTCATGTCATTCTAATTGTATGCCTTTGGTATCCACCAGTAAAATACATTAAACGTGTTCCAGAAAGAGTTGATTTTGTAGATGAAAAATGTGTCTCCCAAGACCCAAGAAGGTACATTTTCTGTCTTGCTAGCACTTCCGTAATCGGAACAATGTTTACATTTTCTCAGCCCATGTAATTCCTCTAATGTATTCCTGTTCTTTCACTCTCCAGAGGCAGGAATTTGAGGTCTTTGAGATTTGATTTTTTTAGCTACCGCATCAAGCATTTAAGATCTGACAATTTTGATGTGTATTCTCACTTGGTATTAAAAAATAAAAGCTTTGGTGTTTGCATTTGATTAGTTTCTCAGATTGGTGGCTGATTAAGCTGGAATCAGAGAAAGCAACTTTCTTCAGAAACACAGCATCTTGGTTAATGTAGTGTAAGATTATTGACGGGTGTAGTCACATAATTTTTATTAAATTGAGGAGGTTAGCTCACCGTGACAGCAAACTCTAGCCGGAATAATGAGAACTGACACTTCTAAAAGGGCCCCAAATAGTCTTCTTTTCTTAAATATTCTTTCAGTTCTAATAAGGAGAGAGCATCATTCAGATACTCAGCATATTTACCTGTGTGGGGTTTTTTTGGAAGGGGTGATGAGAAATCAGCATAAACATTTGTAAATTGTGAATGTTAGCTATTTTCTTTCACTGTAAACTATGCACACTCTTTTTCCTCTCGTTGCTTGAAATGCAAAAATAGGTTGTCTTCAGACAGAGGCCAAGGTGCCGACAAGGAGGTCCTCCTCCGAAGAGACCCCAGCTGGAAGCCTGAAGTGTTAGGCCATTTGTTCTCTTGTTGTGGTTAAGTGCACTTGAATAGATTCCAACACATGGCGACCCTGTACAGAGTTTCCAAGGAATAGCTGGTGGGTTGACCTTGTGATTTGCAGTCCAGTGCAAATCCTACAGTGCCACACCAGAAATCTATTTGCTCTCTTGTTGTTATTTGTAGTTAGGTGCCGTCTAGTCGGTACCGACTCATGGCTACATTATGCACAACATAACGAAACGCTGCCCCGTCTTGCACCAACCTCACAACTCTTGCTACGCTTGAGCCCATTGCTGCTGCCACTGTGCCAATCCATCTCGTTGGGTGTCTTCCTCTTTTTTGCTGACCCTTCACTTTACCAAGCATGATGCCCTTCTCCAGGGACTGGTTTCTCCTGATAATATGTCTGAATACATTCTCTTAGGGTGCATAAAAGGAGCCCCTGGGTGGCACAAATGGTTAAGCACTGGACTACTAACTGAAAGGTTGGTGGTTCAAACCTACCCACCTAGAAGCACCTCAGAAGTAAGACCTGGCCAAGGACAATAGGCAAGGTACACACAGACTTAGTTGTGTTTACTTACTAACCTGTTGTGAACAATTTCACCTGAGTTTCAGCACATAAAATTTGAAATTAAAAACAAACAGGTGATTGCTCACTACATATTCGTTAGTAAACGCAGTCAAGCCCTTGTGTACTTCACATGGCTTTCTGCTTTGAAAACCCTAGGGAGCAGTTCTACTCTGTCATTCCATGGGGTCTCTAGGTATTAGAATTGACTCCCGACAACTAACAACAGTGATAACACAGTGCATAAAATTGAGCGCTCTTCCTCCAGACTCAGATTGAGCTGGGTTATCTCAATTCTAGGAGGGCAAGAGGTAATGAGAAAAAAGGAATAAATGAACTTCGAACATTAAAAAGTGCTAGATTTCAAGGAGTGGAGCGCAGTTGAGAGAGCATGTACTTGAAAGATTGAAAAACACTTTTTTGGAACACAAAGAAGGTAACAAATGAAGTCTATTTACATACTTCAGAGAGGGGCCTTCAGGAGGATTAATTAGTTAATGTTTGGCAAGCTGTGCCTTGAAGACAAGTTATGCAGAGGTGCTATTGTCACTTATTACTGTTATTAATTAACAGGGTGAGTGCCAAACAAAAATAAGCCAAGTGATGTGCTTCATTTCTTAACACCATATGTGATGTCTGTTGCAGGAGTGATTCGGGAAAGTTACCTCAAAGGCCATGATCAGCTGGTTCCCGTCACGCTCTTGGCCATTGCGGTCATTCTGGCTTTCGTCATGGGAGCCGTCTTCTCGGGCATCATCGTCTATTGCATCTGTGATCACCGGCGCAAAGACGTGACTGTGGTGCAGCGCAAGGAGAAGGAGCTCACCCACTCGCGACGGGGCTCCATGAGCAGCGTGACCAAGCTCAGTGGCCTCTTTGGAGACACTCAGTCCAAAGACCCGAAGCCAGAGGCCATCCTCACACCACTCATGCACAACGGCAAGCTCGCCACTCCCAGCAACACAGCCAAGATGCTCATTAAGGCTGACCAACATCACTTGGACCTGGCAGCCTTGCCTACCCCAGAGTCTACTCCAACACTGCAGCAAAAGCGGAAGCCCAGCCGAGGCAGCCGCGAGTGGGAAAGGAACCAGAACCTCATCAATGCCTGCACAAAGGACATGCCCCCTATGGCCTCCCCTGTGATTCCCACGGACCTGCCCCTCCGGGCTTCCCCCAGTCACATCCCCAGTGTCGTGGTCCTACCTATCACACAGCAGGGCTACCAGCATGAGTATGTGGACCAGCCCAAAATGAGCGACGTGGCCCAGATGGCCTTGGAGGACCAGGCCGCCACCCTGGAGTATAAGACCATCAAGGAGCATCTCAGCAGCAAGAGTCCCAACCATGGGGTGAACCTCGTGGAGAACCTGGACAGCCTGCCCCCCAAAGTCCCACAGCGGGAAGCCTCCCTGGGACCTCCAGGAGCCCCCCTGTCTCAGAATGGCCTGAGCAAGCGGCTAGAAATGCACCACTCCTCCTCCTACGGGGTTGACTATAAGAGGAGCTACCCCACGAACTCACTCACAAGAAGCCACCAGGCCACCACTCTCAAAAGAAACAATACTAACTCCTCCAATTCCTCCCACCTCTCCAGAAACCAGAGCTTTGGCAGGGGAGACAACCCACCGCCCGCCCCTCAGAGGGTGGACTCTATCCAGGTGCACAGTGCCCAGCCGCCGGTACAGGCCGTGACTGTTTCTAGGCAGCCCAGCCTCAATGCCTACAACTCACTGACGCGGTCAGGGCTGAAGCGCACTCCCTCCCTAAAGCCGGACGTACCTCCCAAACCTTCCTTTGCTCCCCTTTCCACATCCATGAAGCCCAATGACGCGTGTACATAATCCCAGGGGGAGGGGGTCAGATGTCGAACCAGCAGGATAGGAGAGGCGACCGCTCAGCTCCGAAAGGTTCTCAACTGCCTCAGAGTACCCACCAGACCAAGATGGCCCACTGCAGAGCTGAGGACACTGGGTCCTCCTCTCTGGGACACAGGGATACTCCATCAAAAAAATGGGCAACTGGTTTGGTGAAGCTTTGCAACTGTGGAACTCACCTCCATTCTCTTCCTTCACTTTCCCTCACACCCTGTAACAGGTTGGACTCACAAAAGACTTAAATTATCATCACAAACATGAGCCAAAAGCACATATCCACTCATGCACACACACCCCACATATACACACAAAACACACATCCACAGAGGTGAACAAGCAACTATAACATTTTGTCCATGACTGCATGGGATGTTGCCAAACTGGGCTAGCGTTCCAACTTACAAAACACAGATGCATTTTTTTTAATTATGAAAATTAAAAAGACAAAAAAAATAAAGAAATCCTTGATAATTCTAACTCAGACTTTTAACAATGGCAGAAGTTTACTATGCGCAGATACTGTGAAATGCCCACCAGTGTTACAGCTTTCTGTTATAGCAGATTAATGCCATGTTGGGCAACTATGTCATAGATTTCTGCTCCTCTTCTCTTTTAATGAATAACGTGACCGTTAACGCAAGTAACTCTTTATTTATTGTTCACCCTTTTTTCCTTAAGGAAAGGACTCTTCCACATATCATCCTATGAACAGCTCTTCAAAAAGTCCATTGAAAGTTAAACTATTTAACGTGAAATCCATTAACTGGAATAATTGAGTTTCTTTATTTTTACAATAAATTCACTGAGTAAATAAGTTGGAGCTGGAATTCTGAGCTTTGTGTTTGAACTGTCTGATCTGTAGCTGGAGGAAAGAGTTAAGAGGGGAATATTTATTTAAATCTATCACTTAATTTGCTGGTCTGGTCTCTGGCCTATACATGCAAAAAATAATTCATTTAAAAGTCCTTCCAGATCCTAACTCCTAGGAGCGAAACTTTTAGAATGGCACGTCCGTCATGTCCCATTGCTGCCAACGTGGCTTTATCGGTGGTTATCACTGACGGTGAAGGCACCAGCTTGTGATCTGCCATCTCATTTCGCCTTGCATGTGAGACAGCAGACAAAATCCACAAACGGTGTGAACTCATTCATATGCTGGCTGCTACCTTGCATAAGTTAATGGTTTTAATCACACTTTTCATGGGGTTACATCTGTGAATAGCCTGTTTTCCACATGTAAATTTGTGCCTTACACCTCGAGTTGTGTACACTTGTAAAATGTTGGTATGATAAACTTTCCCCCCTTTTGAAATAAATGCAGATATTTATTTAACCCTCCCTCCCCCCACCTCTACTCCAGCCCTCTGGGAGATTGGAGTCAAGCAGATGGAAGAAGAATGCAGTGGTGATGGTTATAATCCCATGGCCCAGGAAAGTTGGGCCACACCACATCCTCCAATTCACACTTCATTCTAGTTGTGCCAATTCAAACCACCCTTAGGCCATGCTGCTGCTGAGCATGGACCCCAGTATTGTGGGTGGCAAACCCCTTTCTTCCTCCAGAGCTCCCTACTTCTCTTGTATCTCAGATCATTTCAATATGGTGATATCCTCATTAGCCAGCAGGAAAGGGACTAAAGTCCTAGTCTTCATTTCTGCTGTGTCTACTTGCTGGAGAACACAACTGTGTGCGGTCGGGCAGGCACCTGGGAGAGGTCTCCATGGCATGTGCTCAGCACACACATGGCAGTGCACACAAAGCAAGGACATGAAAAAAGATGCAGACAGGCTGGTCCCTGCTGTGATTAATGAGTAACTCAAAAGTACAAGGCCAACCACAATGGATGCTGCAAAACGTTGACTAGAGCAAGATTTTTTTAATGTTTTGTTTTGTTTTTTTAATTTATCTTTCTGTTATTGTTTGTAGAAGTATAGAAGGGGGAGGTGTGTTTTCCTCCCCCCTTGGTTTTCATTTGCTCAAACACAGAATAAGGGACTTTTGTTTACAATATTCTGAACAAAAGAATTGTCAACATACTGTAAAACTTGAGCACTGTTGGTTGTTATTGTTTTGTTAAAAGAGCTAAATCGTTTATTTGGTGGTCTCTTTGTCTCTTCTTTTCAGCTTGGTCTTCTGGGTTTAGTTTTTTTCTTAATAAAAAAAAAAATTGCAAAAAGATAAAAGACTGACAAGGACAGTTTTGAGTTGGCTAGTGAGAAAGTGGTGGTTGCTTTGAATGTGTAGTAAGGGTGAGTACAAAGTTCTTGATTCCAAACATCTGTTGTGATTGTGCCGTTGTTCAGGGTAAGGTTTTAACTTGTTGTTGTTATTGTTATGTTCGGTTTGTTTGGGTTTGGTTTGGGGTTTTTTAGTGAACTCATTGGCCACATCCTATACACACTATCTATACCCTGAAACTATGAAGTCTTTTCTAGAAACTGCGATCTTGTTTTTTCCCCTGGATTTTCTCTAGAAATGCAGATATTAGGAAGGTTATGAATATATGCTACATTCTCTTCATGCTTGACTCCTTAGAGTATTGAAGGTGCGGTGCCCACCAGACGGTAGAGCCGTGAGTTTGTCCTGGTGTGTGTGGACGTCATTGCCTCAGCCGTTGTTGTCAATCTGTGTCAAAACTGACCTTCCACATCCCTGCATCCCATAGACCATCACTTCTTAGTGTTAACCCTAAAATGCCCTCATGTATTGAGCAGGTCTTCTGCATTTAAGTATTTTTCTCCCTGTCGTTTTTGTTGGTTTTTTTGCCCCACTGTGTGTGGGGGGAGGGTCCATAAACCTGAGTGTGCCTTTGCTTTCCACCCCTGCTAGCCACTGGTAGATGCATTCAACTCAGATTATATTTGTTGTAAAGTTGTAAAAAAAATGTTGTGATGTCACCAATTTCCCTTCCATCTCCACATCCCCTAACATTTGATTCACAACTTAATGTATGTTATAAAAAAGAGAAAAAGATAAGAAAAAAGGGGGAAATGAAAGAAAAAAAAAAAGGCAAGGAAAAGGCTCTTTATTACTTGAAAGTAATAAAACCAGACTGTTCTACATTATCTTTGGTGTCCTGAATGCTTTTATTTATCTCTTTTCCCCTTTCACCACCCCCTCAAACTCCACTCCCACTTTTTTGTGTGTGTTTGTGTATGTGTGTGAGACTCTCCTCTTCCACCATTTCTATCTGGTTTCCAAAGCATAAATAGCTGTGTAGTTAGATGCATGTGCTTACAATATACCCCCCTCCCACTCCAAATTATTGATGTGTTTTCTTTGCCTGCACCCAGCCTGGAGGCAGGACTTGAGCAGAAGCCACCGGTAATTAAAAGGCAGAGCACGCATTGACTCCCTCTATTCATTTTATGCATTTTCTTTTTATGGGCTTGTTCATCATCAAACATTTATGGTAGGCTTGATAGTTTAAGAGATCAAGGCTAGGATTTTAGTATGTAGGGTCCACTAAAAATAGATCTCAGCACAGATGTGACTTCAGCCTTTTTACATATTAATGAGGTGGAGGGTGCTGGATTTTTACTCCTTGTTAGCATTTATCTCTGGTAACCCAGAAGACAGGGCTGGAGGTATATTCAGTTGCAGCACTTGATTTTTATTTTTCAGGATAGCAATATGAAATGCCTAGAACAGGCTTTCCCCTCTGGGATATTTTTAAAACAGCTATTTAAATGAGCCCACAGCTATAGTATTTTACTTTTGACCTTCTGAAACACTTTTTTTTTTTTTCAATGTTTCCAGTCAGTTTGAGAATAGGAAAGCTGTAGGTTGAGTTCACACCTACAATGGTCTCAATCTGACACCAGATACCATTTGATAAGCCATGTCTAATAAACTGATTGTGGAATCGTGGTGTGACGCTGTAGGGTAAGCAATGGACCACAAGGTTGGTTTGAATTACAAGGTCAGAGGTTCAAACTCAACAGCCAGGCCTCAGAAATCCTATACAGAGTTGCTGTGTCAGAACTGACTTGAAAGCACTTACTGACCACCAGCAATTGTGTTTCTTAGTGCCAGCCATAGTTTGAGGCACTGTTTTGCATGAAGATACATTAGAATGCAGTTTCTGCCTCCTTATATCTAAAGAGAGAGTGACATTTCCCCAGTGACAAATACAAGCAGGTCTGACAAATATCAGGGTCAAGAGATCACATTTCATTTGGTTCTTACAGAATGAGTAGAAGTTCTCTGGGAGTTACTCTAGATAGAGGTAAGGACTTTGCAAGTCTTTGTGTGTGAAACAGAAAGCTTAGCTGGTGATGAGTAGGGTTGATGGAGGAACAAGGCTGGGAAAAAGAGCTGGGGCCAGACATGGAAGGTCCTGATTGTCAGGTGCTCAGATTTTAGCTATTGGGCAGCAGAATGCTTTTGGAGAGTATGAAACAGCAAATGAAAATGCATTCGTGCTTTAAGAAGTTTCCTAGCATTAGTTTGGGAAATGAACTAGTCCACAGAGAGGCTGGGACTAGTTCATTTAGCAAAGCAGTGTGTCAAATGGTGACTGCCTTAAGGATCTAGTGCTGCTCTAAGAGAACTATCACAAGTTGAGCGGCTTTAACAAACAACTTCATTTTCTCACAGTTGAGACTAGGAATCTGAATTCAGAGTGTCAATTCTAGGGAGATGTTTTCTGTGTTGGTTCTGTGGGAGAGTCCTTGTGGCTTTTCAGCTACTATTACACGTTCCTTGGTGTGGCATGTGTCTTCTGCCATCTCTGCTTGCTTGCTTGCTTGCTTCCTTGCTTGTTCTGCTTTTTTATATCTCAAAAGAGATTGGCCTAAAACACACACACACACACACACAGAGAAAACTGTCTCAATAACATAACAAAGAAAAGCCAATCCCAAATGACATTATAATGTTGTTAAGAGGCATCAAGTTGGTTCCACCTCAGTGACTGGTCGTTTCCAAGGAGCCGCTTGTGGGTTTGAACCACTGGTAGCACTTTAATGCTTATCTTACAGCATCACACTGGGACACCTACTACAGGTATGTTGTTGTTTAAGTGCCATCTAGTTGGGTCTGAGTCATACCAACCCTGTGTAGGGTTTCCACGGAGCAGCTGGTGGATTTGAACCACCAGCCTCGCAGTTACCAGGCCAGTGCTTATCCTACAGGGTTACACCAGGACTCCTACCACAGATAGGTTGTTATTACTGTTAGTGCCATCAAGTCAGTTCCTAGTCATAGTGACCCAGTATAGAGTTTCCGAGGAGCGACTGGTGGGTTTGAACCACCAGCCTTGCAGTTAGCAGTCCAATGCTTATCCTACAGTGCCACACCAGATCTCCAGCCACAGGTATGTTGTTGTT